TCGACAATAAGAATTACTTGTCTTTTTGTCATTCTACTGGGAAAATGTCTTGTGCAGTAGGTATGTGAAGGTAAGAGCATCTGTCCCATTTAGCTTATTCAAGGACCTGTTCAATGCAAAAGGGAAAATAAATGAAAGGGGAAGTAATAAGCAAGAACACGTAAAGAAACCTGACAGACAACAGATAAGATAGATGATGCCAAGGATTAAAAGTTTCTAGTTACTGATCGATGGATGATTAAAAGAAACTCCCAGGCCCAGCTTTGGAGATGGCTACCTTCATAACTGATATAAGAAAGGGGAAAATAAGAGGACTGTAAGGATTTCAGATGTTCAAGGGGAGAGGTGTAGTGACTACGAAAAATTTACACAAGAATGTTTAGTGAAAGGGGACTAGGGAGAAACAGGAAAGGGAGTAGACATAGTAGGAATTGGTATAAAAGGGACTGGTTTGCTGGTCACTACACTTGTCTGAACATGCCCTGTGCCTGATCAGTGAAGTTGGTCCTATCCTCTTTATTAAATCTTTCCTTAAATGGTGGTCTTTGCTACCAGTGACCGTGACAAGAACAGTGGACATCCTGAAAAACAGTAACTGTGAGGGAGAACAAAGCAGGTGAGGGGCTCTGCTCCAGCTGGAGTGAGACATCAAGTCACAGGCATATGTGCATGGCACTATTTGCCATGGGGCAAAAGAAGGTGCATATCTTCTGTCAACCCGCTGTGTACAGGTGTGGCATGTACTTCACTGGCAAACCTCAAGCTGTACCCATCAGCAAGTAGAAGGTGCTGGGTCTGAGCAGAGGTACCAAGCAGGCAGAGAAACAGCACTGGTAACAGGGCACCTGGGATTGTACGGGACCTGTGAGATCAGAGTGTGAGTTCTGGATCTGTCAACTGGATGACATTGTGAGTGGGAGACTTGTGAAGCATACAAAAGGGTTCAGGACCCAGGTGGGAGTGGTGGACAGACAGAGGGCTGGGCCATGCCAGTACAGCTGATTGTGTGCAGAAAGGCAGAGGTGCTACAGAGACCTTGAATACATTATGTTTTTCCACATATAGAACAGACATAAACACCTCCAGTTGCACAGCACTCTTACTCTGCATTAAAAAAAAAAAAAAAATCAGAACTGACGCATTAAGAAACGCAGTTGCCAAACTGCAAACATGAAGAACTTTTAAAGCAAATTTGAGTTTTACTGAAATTCAAGTGCAAGAAATTCCATGTAAAGCTTGAACACATTTCTAGAGAAAACGGACTAGATTAAACAGATAAATTCAGTAACGCACCGGGTATTTGAAGAATATTCAGCTTCTTTTTAGCAGCAGCCACTGAAATCTTGGAAAGGGCTTTTTTTTGTGAATTTTCAGGCTGTAACCAATCTCTGTACTGTACTTCATCATTGACATGATAATTCCTGGGAAATTTATTGTATATTCATTCACAGTGGTACACCTAAGCACTTCATGAATTATCAGTTTCCATTCTTGCTGATTAGGTGATGAACTGTTGAGAGTATTTTCCAGCACTTCTGCAAACTTCTGTACTTGCCTAATTTCCCTTATAGCTATTCAGTTCTTGGGCTCAAAACAAAAAAAGTATTTTCAGAATTCTCAACCACATCTGATTTTCCTCAAATTTGAGTCTTACCATGGAAAGCAACTCCAACATTAGAGCTCTACCTCTCAAACAGATAATGGGTAAGTATATTCACAATAATAAATAAATAAATAAAACAGGGAATTCTGCTGAGAGTAGTACTTCTGGTGTGTGTAAGCTTCCACACATTCAGCCAATTTAGGCATCAAGCTTGAAAAAGTTGAAGCAAACTTGAAGAGGCTCTTCTGCTAGTCCGCGATCCTTTGGCAAAATATGAATGCATTCTAGGAAGTGTTTGGTGCCTTCTGTTGTATTGTTCTTAATATGAACAAACTTCACCAGAGTGAAGTCACCAAGTCACCGTCTAGAGAATAAGTTCCTTTTCCAATTTTGATTATTATATTCTAGCTCCATAGGTAGCAGTTGCAAGCCAGTAACACTGTAAAAAACCTAAGTGGGACTGTGTGGCATTTAAGAAGCTGGCACTTGTGTTGTGGGGAAAGCAGTGTCGGCATGTGCAGGTCTCATAGGAGCCCGGGTACACGATGTCTGCGTAGCAATGAAGTCCCCCAGCACAGCAGCAAAGTGCTTGTAAACATTAAGTCTCCAAGACAGAGAGAGGGCTGCTGCACTTGTGTTACACATCTTTTTGCCTTCCATTCCCGGGCAGGAGGCTGATATTCAAGATTCTTGTTGCTTGCAGCATTTCAGCTCCAGTACTTTTAATGGCCTTTGTCCCTTTTATCCACTTACGGTGTGAGTTTATATCCTTGAATCTATATTGGCAAATAATTATCCAGTCTGCTGCAGAAGTCCAGCACAAAACTTCATGTGCCTTCCACATGCAACTGAGGCCCAAAATCAAAATTTGATAGTCTCAGAGAATAGCCTTTCCTGCTACCAAGCTCTGGGATTGGCCAGGTGAGTTTATATTTACAACATTCCACTATGTTAAAATCAGACATACAAAATGCAGTTCCTGGCATGACCTAAAAAGCCAGGTGGAAAATCACAATAATGTAATGTGTGACTGCATGCAGCTACATATCTACTGTAATGCAACTCGAAAAGACAGCATCTTATTTTATTCTACTGCCAATCTGAACATAATCAAATATCTGATTACTACCATTTCTTTAGAAAAGGCCACCTCCATAGAGAGGACGTCTCCCTAGCCAACTTCTCAGAGGGGGTTAAGAGGCCACCAGGAGGAGCTCTGGTTCCAAATCCCTCTAGCGGAAAGCTAGAAGCATGTCTCACTCAACATTTTAATCTCAGAGCTACCTTTGAGAAAAAGGCAGTAGCTCTGCTCCATTTTTTCTTGGGACTCCAGAAGCAGCTCCTCCACTGGGTGTCCACGTGTAGAAAGCCGGTCCTCTGAACCTCCTGCTGGTACTACCCAGCTGCTACTGGGTGGGGAGAGCAGAAGACAATCAGCAATGACTGGTCTGCAAAGAAAAGTGAGGGATTGGAACCACTAGTTTAGTACACAGATATCCGACCAAATCCATGAGACCTTCAAAAACATCTTTATTCGATTATTTTGCAGAAAGACTCCCAGGAAGCAGCCTCTATAGGCACACAATCCATCACAGTTTAAGTACATTTCTATTTCTCTGATAGTCAGGCACTTGGAAACAGGCTACAAAATGAGTTACACCACCAGAACTTAATTATCCACAGGGCTACTTCAGGTCTCTGTTATTTCAGAGCATTTTATAACCACTCTTCCATCACGCCAACCTAAGAAAAACATTGATGGCTGTTTCATTCAACCCAGTTACCCTCACAGAGATGAAGCTTAGGAGCCACCATGGAGGAGAAAACAAAGAGAAAAGGCAGCTTGGGGCTATTTTACACAGCAACCTTGTAATGCAGATAAGAAAACTCTGCTTCAACCACTTTCTCCCAGTACTTGCAATGCTCTTTTGACCTGTGCCACACTTCCATCATGCAAGTTCTTAAAGATAGAGGGAGGAGAACCAATACCAAGGCATAGATTAGCAAGTGCAGTACACACTCTGGTGTGACATTTGTGGTGGCCAGATGTGCTGGCAGATAGGCATATGTATGTGAGGATGGTGAGACACCAGAACAGGCTGTTCAGAGAAGCTGTAGATGGCCCATCCCTGGAAGTGTTCAAGGAGGGGCTTTGAGCAACCTGGTCTAGTGGAAGGTGTCCTGACCCACAGCAATGGGGTTAGAATAAGATGAACTTTTAAGGTCCCTTCCAATCCAAACCAAACCAGTCTATGATTCTATCGAACAGAGGCTGTGCTCAGCTTCAGCCCTTCTAGAAGTTAGACTGAAATCTGAGATCAAGAGATGAAAAGCCTGTTAGGAAAGCTGAAACCTTTGTTGTTCCTCCTCTAATGTGCTGTAGAAGGCTATGAAAAAGAACTACTCTTTACAGGCAATGGAAAAAGCAGTGAAGTACGTGTAAAGGCATAGGAAGGGAAACCTGAAGGTTTGTTGTCTCACTGGGGCAGGTGACTACCATGTTTCCAAGCTACTAAGCTGAACACATTGGCTTCAAGTTCACCCATGGATGAAACTTAAGAGATATTCCCAGGCAATTAAACCCTGCTAAGAGATGGGAGTGAAATACTGCTCACAAATTGAATTAAGTGTGATCACAAGAGATGTCCCATACAAATACAGAAAGATTCATCACCACTTCCAAGTTTCTTTACATTCAACAGTCAACAACACATCTACTTCACACAAGACAGCAAAGGACTTAAAACAATTTGGAAAGTCTGAGCAATGAAATCAGTAGAAAACTTGAAAGGATTTTCTAAAATTAAAGTCATAATTGTGCAAATCACCTCTTGAGAACTTATTTTGAAAGACTCCAACATTATGATTTGTGAAGTTCCCAAAGAATTGTTTGTTTCTTAAATGTACATTAATTTGCACTTATGAGACTTGCCTGGCCACTAGAGGTTCAGGGAGACCCATCTAAAATAGCACCAAACAGACAGCAAAAACATTCTGTTCACAAGTCTTCACTGTTTTATTCTATTGTAGGTGTTGTCATGAACCTTTATATGTAATCTGGAGCCCTAACAAGCAAGAATTAAAATCATTACAAGCATTACATAAAATATCAATTCTTTTTCCCAGCTGTGCTCATATGATCAAAATACTCTGTTCTAATAAATAAGTCAGTGGTTTGTAAATCTGTTTACAAGGCACTGAAGGTGAAATATATGTAGTTTAGTTGGGCTCAAACAGCTAAACAACAGCTATGTTATAGCGGCATTATAATTTCCCCAAAGCATTATGGGATAACATGAAATCATTCTTCTGCAAGAGAAGGATAAATAACACTTTCATTAGAATATCTTCTCCTGTATTGGGCAGGTCAAAACAGTTAATAGAGTTAATGATCTGGACTCAGGAAAAGGAGGCAGTTTAAGAACACCCCAAAGAATAGGTGTCCCACTCATAGTCTTCTATTTCTTTTATTTGCGTAAGTTTCTTTTTTTTATTTTTAAGACAAGAGTCTTGCAGCTTGGGTCTTCCTGTGTTTCAATGATGCATTATCTTATGCAAAGTCAAAGTCAGCAGGGGAAGGAAGAGAGAATGGGAGAGCTGGTGAGCACTGCTGGTGTCTGCATGAGTACAACTGGACTGTCCATGGCCCCGGGGCTGGGGCTCAACTGTGATGTAGCCATTGATGATGCGGATCCGGGGAGGAGGATCAGTAGCACTGCAAGGCAAGACAAAAATATCAGTCCTGACCCAGCCCACAACTGCCCAACAGCCACAGAGCAGGAGGGGCTCGGCCTCTGTGATCCACTGTCACTTTTCTGGGTCTCTTATACAAGTTACACACTGACCAAAAGTCTGTGCCTCCTAAGTGCAGAGTGCTGCCTTGTCCCTTCTTAAAACATGCAGACAGCTCCCACACCAGCCCACAAGGACAAGGTGCTGCCCAGCCAAACTGAGAAGTAGACTTGAGGGGGAACAACAGTAAAGAGACTGAGGAGGGTGATGACAGCAAAATACCAAAAATACCTGCCCTGTGTCAAGTCTACCCAGACTACCCATTGCTCCCACATAGTCAGTCAGGTGGGTAAGATGACCATATTCCCAGCCCCTGCCAGCTAAGAAGAAAATAGATAAGAACAAAACAAGTGTTGTTGCAGAGGAATATCACTGCAGGGGAACTTGCTAAGCACAGCTAGAGTGAGGCATCTGTTTTCTGAGTACATCTTCCTCAGCCATGCTTCCTGCACCTTAGCATGGACTCATCTTGTTCTATACTGTATGATCTCTTCCACAGGTCAGGAACTAAAAAGATTTATATAACGTACTTTAAACAGAGGAAGAATGCCTTCCAGAAACATATCCTAGATCACCACATTCCAGAGTATCTGCCAGTGGCAGAGAGTATTCTGACATAATGATGAAAAAGCATTAGAATTAGCATTAGAGCATACATGAGCTGAGCTCCCATAATGGTAATACATGATGGAGGAGAGAAATTTGTATGCTCCAGGCTGCTAATGCCAACTGACCTGAACTAGGGGAGATCACACACCACAGCATGTCAAGAGCCAGAAGGGTTAGGTACTACACAAGTTGTTGCTCCCTTTGGCAATGGACTGAAAGCAAGGCTTGACATCACAGCTGTATGACTGACATATCCCCCAGGACCACTTGGTGCTGTGTAGAACCTGAAGACAAATCTGGACAAAACTAAAAGCAAGTTCACCTGGCAAAAAACCAAGTAATTACTGCACCCAATCCCCATCTGCTGTGCACCATTCTTGTCTAATTTCAGTCCACTAAGCAAAAATGCTTTGGGAAAGGGAAGGAAATTACTATCCTTTTCAAAAATACTTTACTCTTCCTTAACCAAAGGGCTCCCCAGAGAAGCCAGCTGGCAGCACATCAAGGAAATACAGCTGCTAACTGATGCATACAGGGGCACAAACCACAGCCATTCTGCCAAGCCCACTACAACTCTACTAAATCACCTGAGCTGCACCTTTCACATTTTCAGGCTCACAGGAGAAATCACAGAGACTGAAAATACTGCATGAATATTGCCCAGGTACAAGGAGAACATATGCCAGGAATAATAGTTTCATCTATGCAGCAGCTTTTGGATAACAGTCCAAGGCCTTGATCTGTATCATCTACCACTGGACCCAGCCTTCCATGAAAGAGAGGACTGCCATAGGCTCACAGTCCCTCAAATTCAAATGCAGAATGATCTAGACAAGACCTCCACTTCTTTTATGCCTGGTTTTCCACAGATCTAACTATGCAAAGGAAAAAAAAAGCTTTTTCTGCCACTAAAAGCACAAGAAACCTTGTGCAAATGCTTCAGAAACAATCAGAGCAGTGGAGGTCGGATCCTGTCCACAGGATATATCCACCCCTGCAGAAAGGTCTGTATTAAACCATCTAAGTTAAAGTCCAGCTTGCAGACAAGCCATCCTCCCCCTCCCCACCCATTAGCTACCTTTCTTCAAGACGAACCCAGAGGTCGTTAAATTGTCGCAGTCTTTGCTTCTTCTGCTGCTTCTTCTTCTTCTTCTTTTTATACTTCCTGTCTACTTTCATGAGCACATCAATGCTGTCTGGGAATAGCAGGTGAGGCAGGAACTCTTCCTCCTCCTCTTCCTCCTCCTTCTGGGGGTGCAGTGGGAGTTCATGGGACATGACATAGGGACTATGTGATGATGAAAAGGCTAACAAGGTTTTGGGGGATTTTCGGCTGGAAGAAAGAGAGAACACAGATAACATTTAAAAGGGCTTTGAAGGCAAAATCCTGCAACAGATACTATCAAGGCATATACATATAAAATAGGTATTTCTCTCTGGATGCTCATTTCTCTACCTTGTATTCCTGCTCCCTCTTCCATAAGTCAATATTGATTTTGTGATCAAAACAGTGCTCTTTAGCAAAAAAAATATTTGGAAAAGAGGCAGTCTGTAACAGAGAAAAGAATGTAGTCTGGATAAGGGTGGAGTAACTCTAGGTAATAAGCCTGCATATCTAGAAAGCGACAAAAATGGAATCACTTCTTCTTCAGCATCAAACCACACTCCTCTAGTCTGATGTGCTGCAGAACACAGACCAGATTATTCCTTTCAACATTCCTGCCCAGAGCAAACTAACTTAGGAGATAAGGGGAAGGGGCAAACAAAACAACTAAAGCACCAGCTATGAAACCAGTTCTGGATCAGCAACTCTCAGTGGTGGAGAAAGTAAGAAACAAGCTATAGAAACACATCTGAAAATCACCACTTTTGAAGGGAAATTCTTAGCATACCATTAACAGTAACCTGGTTGCATGCTGGACCCAGAGAAGGCTGAGGTTCTCAATGACCTCTATATCTCAGTGTTCAATGGCAAGTGTTCCAGCCAAGCTGCCCAAGTCAGGGAAGGTAAACGGGAGTATGAAGATCCTAAGCACAACGTAGGAGAGAATCAGGTTTGAGACCATTTAAAGAGCCTGAATGTGCACAAGTGCATGAGATTCATGCCTCATGAGATTCATCTCTGAGTTCTAAGGGAGCTAGCAGGTAAGTTGCTGAGCCACTATCAATCATTATTGAAAACTTGTGGCACTCAGATAAAATTCCCAACACCTGGAAAAAGGGAAATAGAACCCTTATTTTTAAAAAGGAGAAAGTACAAGTCTCACCTCTGTGTCAGGCAAGACGATGGAGCAGATTCTCCTGAAAACTATGCTAAAACAAACAAACAAAAACCAACGAGGTGATTTGTAACAGCCAACATGGCTTTACCAAGGGCAAACAATTCCTGTTAAGTTTGATTATCTTCTCTGATGGGGCTGCAGCTTTGATGGATGCAGCAGAGCAACTGCCATCATCTGCCTGGACATAGGCAAAACATTTGACACTGTCCCACGACAGCCTTGTCTCCAAACTAGATAGACATAGATTTGATGGATGGGTTGCTTGATGGATAAAGAACTGGCTGGATGGCAGCACACAAAAAATTGTGCTCAACAGTTCCTTGTCCACATGAAAAACAGTGATGAGTGGTCTCCCTCAAGGGTCAGTACTGGCACCATTGCTGTTCAAGATCTTTGCCAGTAACATGGACAGTGGGATCAAAGGCACTCTCAGTAAGTTTGCCACCAACACCAAGTTCTGTGGAGCAGTCAACATGCAGACAGGAAGCAGTGCCATCCAGAGGGAGCTGGACAGGCTGGAGAGGTGGGACTGTGCAAACTCCATGAAGTTCAACAAAGCCAAGTGCAAAGTCCTGCACCTGGATCAGAGCAACCCCAGACAGAGCTACAGATTAAGTGGATTGACAGCAGCCCTGAGGAGAAGGACTTGGGGGTGATGGTTGATGAAAAAAGCAACATGACCCAGCCATGGGCATTCCCAGCCCAGAAAGGCAATGGGATCCTGGGCTGCATCCAAAACAGTGCGGGCAGCAGGGGAGGGAGGGGATTCTGCCCCTCTGCTCTGCTCTGGTGAGACTCCAGCTGGAACCCTGCATCCAGCTCTGGGTTCCTCAGCATAAGAAGGACATGGAACTGCTGGAGTGAGTCCAGAGGAGGCCACAACATTAGTAAGAGGACTGGACGTGTGAGGACAGACTGAGAAAGCTAGGTCAGCTCGTTCTGGAAAAAAGAAGGTTGTGTGGAGACCTCATAGCAGCTTCCCAGTATCTGAAGGGTCCTACAGGGAAGCTGGAGAGGGACTCTTTGTCAGGAATTGTAGTGACAGAAGTAACAGATACAAACTGAAGAAGCAATGAATTTAGGCCAGGTATTGGGAATAAATTCTTTACTGTGAGAGTGGTGAAATACTGAAAGAGGTTCCCCAGAGAGATTGTGGTGCCTGAACCCTGGCATTTTTCAAAGCCAGGTTTCATAAGACCTTCAGCAAGCTGGCCTAGTGGGAGGTGTACCTGCTCATGGCAGGGGGATTAGGACTAGATGATCTTTGAAGTCCTTTCCAATCCCGTAACATTCTATGATTCTGCAACTAAGGAATCCTTTGGGCCATCTAGTGTGCATCAACTGAAAGAAGATTAGTTTTGGCACCAAGTTCACTCTCTTGTCATTTTTTTTTTTTATGAAGGTAGATGGTACAAAGCAGTGAATGCACAGCCTTTACAAAACGTCGTGTCAGAAGACATGTCTGACACGTAAGAAACCAGAGCTCAACACACCATTGTGGCATTGGCTTCTAGTGTTGATCTGCAAAAGGGTGTAATGCTGTCCTGCCACTCAGATAAAGCACACCAAGGAGCATGAATGGTGGTCTTAGTGAATTTTACAGACAAGTATGGAGGTCTACATTAAGGGAAGAAAACTGAGAAATTGCATCTCTCTCATAAGCAGAGCCAAGATTTGCACACTTTTATAGCAGGTAAGGAGGGAGTGGAAATCAGGCCTTAGCCTTCCAGCTGCCCAGATCCTGTATTAGGCTGGCAGCTTTATTAGGAATTTCAAAGGAGCTCCAGCAAGTAAGACATGTCACTGAGACTATCTGCATGTAAAAACTGTCTTACAAAACAAATCTTGGAAACACGAAGTTAAGCTCCCAGAAAAAGCTCTCAGGGCTATGACTACTCAGCTTCCTGCAAAGGTGATAAATTGAAATAAACAACAATCAGCTCCACCCTGATTACTGAAGCTCTGTTTCTTTATTCTTAGAGCAAGCAACATCTCATCTATACTCTAAGGCAGGCAGTCTGCAGTGTCCTATTCACTCATAGCTTTGCTGGCCACATTTCTCATTGTTTGGAACAATTTTCCCTCTTTACTTATTTATGAGCATCTTGGACAAAACCACAAACTCAAACCACTCTGTGTATACACAGAACCTAGCAGGAATATCTGACTGATCTTTATGGCTTTATGGCTATGGAGATGTAACAGTCTTCTGTAACAAAAGTGCAGACTGACTTGGGCTGAAATCCAGAAAAGTAACAGAAAACCACAGACCACCAAGCAAAAATCTGCCTTTAAACAATGAAACTTTCCCAGAACTGCGCTCCTTTTTCAGCTTCCAATGGCATGAAAAGGAGGAGGTCTGGAAGGAGACATATTTCAGCATGGATGCAGTTTTCAAGCTAGCCCATCGCTGTAAGCCCACTTATTTGATAGCAAATAGAGAGTAGTTCCTGCAGAAGAGGAAATGAAGTTGTGGACTAGAACATTGAGAAAGTAGATGGAAAACAAAGATAATATGTCTTATTTGCTGCAAGGAAAATAAGAGTGATCACATTATATGAGAGTCTGCTGCAGAATAGACCTTGGGTTATCAATCTCATTAAAAATCACTGTGGTGTCACAATCAGTCACACTTCATCACCTCTGACCTGTCATGACCCTTCAGCTCTTCTCCTCAGCTGCTTCACATCACCTACTCTTTAACTCCACCTTACAGAGCAATGATCTCTCATTGGCTCTCTCCAGCGACCTGATTTAATCTGTTCCAAGGTCTTCTGCCTATGATTCCCTTTTCCACCGTTTCTCTTCACTGTTTTTGCTCCTTAAATCACAGAGTAGGCAGTGTCCCACTCCTGTAGATTACAGTGTCATGCTGCCTGCAGCCTTCCCTACTGAACCCACGGCCACACCATGCTGGAGCTCAGCACTGCTACAGGTAGAAAGTGACCTACATAGCCAGACATTTATTCTGATAGATGTGGCCTCAGACACATCCATGCACCAAACCTCCTTTGCAACTCTTCCTGCAGGACATTCTTCTAGAGACCACTGGAAAAGGCACACAGGTTCAAGAGCCTGTCCTTCTTCCCCCCCAAGCCAATTCCCCCTCCTGTCACAGAAGCTAAAGGAGAGTCAGCAAACACCTTAATTATTGCTGTGATTGTGTTGAATAATTTATGATCTATAACTACATTCTAAAATCAGGAACAACAGCTATAGACCAAAGTGAGTCAGAAGGAGCTTGACTGAACTGGTGGCACTATTTATAAACCGCCCTTTACAATATTGCCTGCTTGGAGCACCTCTTTTGCCTTCCCTGCCTGGGAGACAACAGGGAGAAGGAACCTTTCTATCTCCTAGACTAGCAGCATCCACCCCATTTGCTCTGCAGATGGAAAGTTCATGTCAGGTAGCCCCGCTTGCTACAGGAAAATGAGTGTGACTATCCTGCATCCTTATTGGTTCCTACACACAGGTATCTACAACACACCTCACAAGGGACTTTTTGTTTAGCCAGAGCACAGGAAGCAGCAGACTGTGCTGCTGCAGTGAAATGTCATGTTGCAGGGAAAGGAGATGATTGCAGACTTCCTCCTTCTTTTATTGTAGATCCTCTCAGTCATTTAAATTCTCTGTCTCAGTCCAACCACTTGCATTTTTATCCTGTCTCTGTTATGAACAGTGAAATTGTCCACAGGTACTGGCTGGACTGTGTGCAGCACTATATAGGACAATAGCTGGACACAGTTAACACATTTATGTGATCAACACTGGGTTTACTGTCACAGGCTGCTCTGCTATTTGCTCCTAGAACAAGCCCAGGATAGCATCAATGAAATCTTCCTTCCAAGTCCTAGAACTCTGACACACTCTTGCCACAGGTCCTTTCCCTCACCTTAAATGCTCTTTCCTTTGAACCCACATTTTTCTTAAAATGTATTTTATATTTTTTGATCTGTTTCCAAGTCATTCAGAAATGTTAACGGTGAAGTGCCATCGTCTTACTCAGGTTTAATACTCCAGGAAAGATGTTCTGTCCAACGGTCCTAGTAAGAGGTTTAAGATGCAACTAAAGCCAAACTGAGGGCTACTCAAGTAAGCTACTCCAAGTAACCTTGATATCAACCTTCCTAATAAGTGAAAATCTATCCCTCCTTTCTTCAGTTGTCTGCCCTTACAGTTACATATTTACAGAGCAGTATCAGATCTCATTTATTTTCAAGTTCGTATTAAGTTACCTTTCTTTAAGCTGTAAGAAGCTCTGCAGCTCTTTTTAGGAAAACCTAAGCTAAGAATAAAAAAACAACATGAAAATATCAATGCAAGCTCTTTTGGGTTTGTTTTTTGTTTTTTTTATCATCTCTGTAAACACTGATAGACTGGATTTTCTAGCACAACTCAAGTGTAACAGAATCATTAAGTCTTGTGCTTAAGCACAGGTGCTTCTCATTGTCAGACTACCTGCCCACTGGTAGAAACTGGGTTAGGGGCTGGCATTCATATAACCATGGGCTAAGTCTTGGATCAGTTTTTCTCAGTGCATGTAGAGTTAATGACGTATGTCCATGTCAAGAATCACTGCAAAAACACCACCTGCCAGAATTTCAATCTCATGTTTTCAGACAACAGCAAAGGTGGTATAAAGAGAAAGATGAAGCAATCAGAGTATGAGAAAAACAGCTGTTACTAATTTGCACCACCCATGAGCCCATGGAACACACCAAGACTCAACACTGTGCCCTCTGCACAAATCCTACCAAAAGGTGGTAGTCCTGCCTGAGAGTCCCATATTAGAAACATGGGGGAGGAAGGACAGAGATGTAAACAGGGACACTGCCTGGCACAGAAGATAAAAGTGAAACAGTACCATAATTGGGACCAGTTTCCAATTTTCTCCTTTGTGGTTTTTTAGCAGTGAAGAGTGACAGCTACATGTTTGATAAGTCTGGAGAAGAGGAAAGCAAAGATTGCAGACCCTAAGCTGGTGGCAAGAATTCCAGGAAGAGGTGAGTCAAAGCACAAGTAATTCTTGGTAGAGAGTGGAGGAGGAGATTATCTGGCATTCTGTAGTTACTGAAACCATGGAGGTGGATAAAAGCATCCAGTGAGAGATAAAAAGAAGCAGGAAGGGTATATCCCAAAGGACAGCTGCAGGATGAACCAGAACAGCAAGCACCTTAGCTTAAAAATGCAGAAGAAAGCAGGGGACATGAGAGCAATCAGTCATAGAGACAGCTTGCAAAGACTTTGGGCTGAGATTCTAAGCTGAGAGAGAGTAAACAGAAAGAATAAAAAATAGCAGTATAGAAGAAGGGGATTATTACAAGGCAGGGCAGTCAAACACATAAAAGAGAGGAAAAGAGAAACCTGGAAGCCTGTGTGGTACAAGACAGCATCCAGATCTGATGAACCAAGCATACATACTCTGCAGCTGTTAATTTAAGACTTAAAAACTTACAAGGATGAAAATTTATTAACAACAACAAGAACAACAACAAAAAAGGATAAAAAAAAAAAGAAAAAAAACCCACACAACCCCCCCCAAAAAACCAAAACCAACCAACCAACCAACCAAAAAACAACAAAAAAAGGAACCCCCAAACCACAAAAAAAATCAACCGCAAAACCAACAACAAACCAACAAACCAAACAGCCCCAACCCCAACAACAAAACCCAAGAAACAAACAAAACAAACCCCAAAACAAAACCAAATAAAATCCCCTTTCCAAACTAGCTCATGGAAGAGAAAAGCAAACTGCTGGGAAGGAGAGAAAAAGCCTAGCTCACTCTTAGTTATAATTCCAGCTACCATTCCTACTTCATAATTATTTACAAACCCACTCCCCCAATGGCTGCTCAGCTAGGTAAAAGCATGCATTACTTGTTGATGGCTTGTCCAGCTGGAGTGTGTTCTACCTCGTACCCTTCTCTCCTCAAAACATCAATCACTGTGTTGTTGCCCATGAAGTGACCTGCAGTTAAAAGAAAAATGGTATCAGAACTCACCAACCACATGGGAAGAGGGAGAAGAACAACAAAGTCCTTCCTCTCATCACAGGAGGTCTGCCACACTCAAGGCAGGCAGGGCTTTATCACTCCCCATCAACATGCACCAGAAACACAGAATCTCTAATGACTGATTGCTGAACTTTCCCAAGGTCACTTCAATTACTACATTCAGCCTTTCTAAAATGCAGATGTGATTGCAATTACTGGGGTCCCACAGGTTGTTGCATAATGGGCTGCCCAGGGAGGTGATGGAGTCACCATCCCTAGAAGTGTTTAAGGAAAAACTGGATGTGTCACTTAGCACCATGGTCTAGTTGGCATGATGGTGACTGGTCAAAGGTTGGAATTAATAATCTCAGATGTCTTCTTCAACCTAACTGACTGTGTGATTATCAGGCCATTGTGTATAATTTAAGGGAATAAGAGATGAAGTTTGGACACCTCTGTTCAAGAGCAGCAAGTGAGTCTACCACTGGTGGTGATGCAAAGATTTTAACACTGTCCAGCATCACAAAGACACAGAGCTGTTGCTCAATATCACTGACCATTTTAAAATTATTAAGAATCATCCAACTGTAAAGAACAGAAAATCACTCTGAAAGCTGATGACTTAGATCAACCTCTTTCATTTCTTCATTGTATGCCACTGGGGCCAGAAACCTGACCTCAGCCATCTTGATAAAAGGACTTCGTTTAAGAAGGATTTAGATAGTTCTGCCCTAATTCTGTGATTTACATGTCCACTCCATTCTCAGACAGATTTTGTGACTGGTAAGATTGTATTTTGGCATCATAGTGACTACATGACTCAAAGGCTGCAGGCTTTCCTGACTGCTCTGCTCACAGAATGTCTCCCACCATCACTTTAACATGTCATCAGACCAGGCTGCTGAGAAGCAGAAGAAAGAGAACAAAGAGAGAACAAAGGCCTTGCACACTCCCTCATAGATCCAGCTTTCATAAAATATTTCTTCATTTAATGGCCTACATAAATTAAAATTGGCCTTTGGCAAATTATTCATTAGAGTGATCCCTTACCTCTGTAAATGTACACAGTGCTAAAACTGGTAAGTAAGTCCAGAAAAACTGTTTTCTGATAATAGTGTTCATAAATACATGGCAAGAGAACCAACCGAATGATTCTAGTAGCCAGGGAAAACAAGAAGTTATAAAGAGAATTCTAGCAGCGATGAGAATATCAGGAGACTAAACATAAGGAATTAATGAGTTTTCATTCCAAAAGTGGTTGAATGAACAGGAGCACAAAAATTCCAGCTTCTCATGCCACAACAACAAAGTGCTTATGATATACCATCTTAAAGCATGAGTTGGATGGTACCATTAGAGCACAAGATGAACTTTCCCCCCTGAGCCTAAGAGCATTAACCAATCTAGCTCAAATGAAACCTCTTAACTGAACACTGCAATGCACACCCACTGGGAATCATATTTTCACACACAGAAATTGGATTTTGTCCTACTTCCTCAGATTAAATTTTGTCTTCAGAAGTAAAGCTTAGGTACCATTACGTTGACCTAACCTAACACTGTTGGTATCTGTTGGCTCAGCTCCAGGTATGATTAACCAAGAACTCCCTCATGTCAGCAAAAAAGACCAGTTGCAGCAGGAATGGCTGTAATGAAATATTGTAATTGAGTAAAATTAGCTACTGTAAAACAAACACTAGGTACGTAAGATGCCAGACCTAGTTTCTATCTCTCACCTTTAACACAGAGGAGAAGTATGTGCAAAGAGAAGGCGACAGGGATTCATTCCTCCTTCCCTATCTCCACGCAGCAAAGGAAGGGGTGCTTCCAAAGGGTGATCCATTCCTTGCAAAGGACAGGGAGGTAGGACAGCTTGGACTTGTAGAGAAGCACCTCTCAGCTGACAGGGTAGGGGCAGTGTATATTCCAAGTTCAGATGAGACATTCACCTTATGCAGACAATGATGCATGAGTCAAATCCCATCTTCAGAAGTGAAAAACAGTGTCAAGTCTGAACTCATATTTTCCTAATCCAAATCTTTTAGGAGGAAAGGGACAAGGCATGAATATAAGCAATCTATAAGGCAATGTATGGTCTTAAAATAACTTTCCTCGAGCCAGTTTAAGAACTTACAGATAGATTAATTTCAAGAGTGAGCTACTGAATAGCTGGTCACACCACACCATTAAACATACTACTGCTCCATCAATCTTCAGTCATCCTTGCTCAGAGCAGTGATTTAGCCTGAAATGTAGGAAATCACTGTGGCACATAGATGAACACCATTTTCAATCAGTCAACCTGCTTGAGTGTTTTTCTGTAGCTGGGGCTCTTTATTTTTAATTTAATTTAATGCAGTGATAAGAATATCTTTTATACCACAGTTATCTGTACATACTTTCACAGAGTGCCCTTGCTCATTGTTGCCAAGGTGATGAGTTATGTCTGCATGTGAGAGAAAAATGATGTGCTAATATTATGCAAAAAAGAACAGACCAAATGAATAAATATGTGTAAAACAGATGCATACAAATACAACAGCACGTGATATTAGATTGTTCACAAGACATGAGCAATCAAGAGCCACTCAGGCTAGGTACATAAAGGGATAGGCGATGAAGCACTCACTATCCAAAAGGAGGCTGCCTGAGACAGAGCTTGTTTGTGGCCCAGAGGATCTACAGGTTCAACTGAATGAGATGCAAAATTTAAAAAGGCAGAAGGATGATGGTTTGAGGTACAGGACCCCAACAGGAGCCTCTCTAGCATCAGAACTTTTAACTCATTCCTGGGGACCACCACAAAAAAATCACTCAGTGGTGTATGAGAAATCAGATTGCCAAAAACTACCATAAAAAACACGAGAAAGATTCACTCTCCAAGGTTTAAGATCAAGCAGCTATTGCTGCAAGGGAGACTTAGATGATAAGTCATGTGACAGGGTGAAGACCTCTTTCACCTGTTTTCTATTTTAGCCTAACACACTTGAATGCTCCCCAGAAGAAAGGCCCCGGGTCCTGTCCCATCAGAAAGCCTGTTCTTTTCTTTCTGTACATAGCTCTGCATTATCCTCACACCGATAGGTGAAGAGATGCCTACAAGAGGTCAATTTACTCTGGCAGGGGGTGGGGAGTCATGAATCTTTATTCTTCTGTGTTCAAGCTCAAAGAGAAACTAAGAAGCTGTTGTGTGGACCAGCTCAGCCATGCACTCTACTGGAGAGTAAATAAGACCCAGGCCTTTAATCTGCACTGAAAGGAGATGGCATGCAGGGACCACAACAGGCAGTATGCTTAAAGAAAAACACAGTTTGACCAATGTGCACTTACAGACTTGACCACACATTGTGTGGTTCTGACCTTCCTCAGTAGCCATACCCAATCCTGCAGAACACGGGTGTCGCAGTTTCGGTGTAGTGGTTTTGATTTCAGAAATCTATACAAACCACCACGTTGGGCTACTACTACTGCCCTGAAACCTGTGTCTCCTGCTTGCAGCTTTTACTGTCAGCACATGCAGAGCTGCTTCTGTAACCATGCTAGTTTAGGTAAGTTTTATCCAAACGACTGTGGGTTTCAGCAGAGATTGTTGAACCCAAATTTGAGCTATTGTGAGTCTGAAATATCTCAGCATCTAGCAAAAGGAACTAGGAAATATTGCAAAACAAAGGTTCAGTTTCTATTACTAAATTTTAATTTTTTCACAGAAACCAAGTCTTACAGACTCGTGAAAACTATACTCCTCTCTGAATTTCAATAAAATCGACTATTCCAAGCAGATAAATAAAGTTCTTTGACTTCTTAGAGTCACGTAAAAGGAAACTGCCAAATATACATAATTCTCTGTTTTCTTAAGTAGAGAGATAGCACTTCCCATCCACCCCAAAAGCATGTCAAGAACTCACCATTTACAAACATCCCAAGACAATGAATGACTGGATATACATGTAAAAACATCAAACTATTTGTTAGGAAACCTGATCTTGACTGCTGACTTCCAAGATGTTGTGGGAACAACTAAAGCATAGAATTATAGCACTGCAATCACAAAACAACACAAATTAGTCCAGCCACTGGGGACATCATAAAGCTGGATGTTTATTTGGACTGCAAGCTCTCAAATGCCAGAGACACTGTCAGTCACTGAAGCAAATACTTTCAAGAAAGTTTTAGAGGTATAGATCTTACAATTATTTAGAAACTTCCTGGAAATGCCTATAGCAATTATCATCTGCTTACATTCTTACATTAACTCTTCCTTTAACATAAACACAGTTATACTTTTTAAGTACACACTGAGATGCAAAACTTGGAGTAATTTTAACCTAGCTAATACAATTATGGGAGAAAAAAGCTAGACAAAGTATTTGTTGTGATCCAAAGCAAAAGAAGGAAAGCGGGTGATGTGATCAATTAAATTACAAATCAGTTTCCTTCATATATATGTTTTCTGCTCACACTTTTCAAGAGGAAGACACTGTTTTCAAGCACGAGCATGATGTACCCAGGTGTAGCGAGATTGCACTTCACTTCTCCCAGAATCAGGAGGTGGAAATTTTGCAGTTACATTAGATAATCCAAGCAACATAGGGAAAAGAGGGATCCGTCATAAGTGGCTGGAATTCCAAATCTGCCATTTAAGTGTATCAAATGCAAAACATGTAATGATAAATCCAGTAAATTCTTGCTTCTCACAGTATTTCCAAGTCCAGGAAAGTCCAGGTACCAGAACAGAAACCAAACGACAAAGATCATGGTACTCTCACAAATTTAATACTGCAGGGAGAAGGAAATGAAAGGCTGAAGGGGATGAGGTGGCACTAGTGATGCCGTAAGTCTACTTAAAGAATCCTGAATTTACATTAGGCGTAGGAGTGTAAGGATGTTGCATTAAAATACTTCTGCAGGCTTGGAGGTCAAAGCTCATACAAACAGCCCTCCAATGCTCTCCTGCATTTTTCAGACTGTAGACCTC